ATTGATTCGCCGTGACGGAATACCAGGTCCGCGTAGGCAATCTCCTAAAACTCACAACGTCGTCACGATGACGACGAACGGAGGTCCGACGTCGGCGTTCCTTCTTCTCTCGTTTAAATATAAACCCCGACGCTAAAGTGGCCGGCTCTAGTCTTGGCGTCGCGACGCTCGCGAAACAAACGCGGCCAGCACGCGTCGTTCTCTCCCAGTCGCGGAAGCCAATAAAACCTACGAGCTGCCCACCGTAAATAATACCGTCTCCTATACTTGGCTCGAGGATCACCATTGTCCTCCGATTCTACGAGTTAATCTTCGTTAATTCCGCCGGGCCCCAAGAGAAGAGGATCCACGAGCTCTCGTCCGATTCCACCATGGACCCCCTGAGGATTCTGTGAAATAGTAAAAATAAGGGAGAGAATATCAAGACGCGGTACCAAGTGGCTCCCAAGTGTCTGCGCAAACGAGGAAAATTGTCAGCCATATTCCAAGGACTTTGACAGGACCTCGAGTGCAGGTGCGCCACGTGGAATTTCCGAGAGGGAACTTTCCCTAGAAGGAAGCACTCCCGGAGTCGAGTTGCTTGGCTGCCATTCGATCTGGCTGTTCCTTTTTTTTTTTTAATACCCCGTGCGCGGCCACCCGCAAAACTCCACGATACTGGGATGGCGGGTCTGGAGTTTGATGAATCGCAATAAAAGTAAACGCTTGGAGTACACGTTGGGATATACGAATAAGTAATCAGGATAAAGAGAACGGGTCGTTCAACTATCTCTGGTCTCTATCTCTATCTCTCTCTCTCTCTTGCTCCCTCAGTCGCTCGGTCCCTCCGCTCTGATGTATATTTAACTCGATGAGTTCTCGAGTCCTGGCACAAAGGAAGGTGGTACGTACGCATATTGAGATGAGGATCATCCATGTAAAGAGAAATTGACTGTACTCTATGTGCACAGAGAGATAACCCAGAGCGCAGCGCGGATGATCGCAAGCGATAGCAGAGCAGAAAGAAGAAAAAGGAATTTCAGAGAATAGCTGGTAAAAATAATTCAGCGTCCAGCGTCATCGTCATGTCGTCACGAGTCAAGCAGGAAATTCGGATAACAATTTTTTTCAATGACGGCATTGTTGTCATCTATATATAAGCGTGTAAAATCCGATAACCTAGAGAGCATATCTGGACCATAGAAACTGAGCTTGTTTATTCGGAGTAAGCAGTTTGATCTACTTGGCAGAAGTTCACAGAAAAATATTCAAGATACTTTTGGTCCACGCAGCATCCGATCTAAGGAGTTATCCGTGCTCTTGGCAAGTTGGGCTAAGGTGATCCTTCAGTTAATTAGGTCTTTGGCACTTGGTTCTCTCATGGCAACGTGACTCTTACCAGCTACGAAAAGTCGGACCGACCTATTGTTTCTTGCCCAGAGTGTGACTCATCCGGCGTCTCGGTATTCTACGATCATCCTCCTGGCGTCTTGGGAATAAGGTGTCCCAAGGTCGTGACGAGGAAGAAAACTTGAAGTCATCACGATCATCGGAGATTAGACTGGATGCAGGGAGAGTCAGCCAAAAATTAATCGAATTACCCGGTCATTGTACTCGTCTAAGGACGTGACGGTAAAACAGCTGATTGGCGTGAATCGGGTTGGCCAACCGCGAGTCTGGAAAAAAAAGAAATATAAATTATAGCGCGCACGAACAATAGCGGAGAGAAAGTGAGATCGGGCAACGCGACGCACTCTTCGTGAAAACTGCCCACAGGACGATATCGATCCCACCTGGCGCGTGAGATTCACGTATACGCCGTGATTTGCTGGCGCGTGCGAATTTCACACAGTCTATATAGAAAGAGGCATTGACGTCTTTTTTTTTAGCAACTGCTTTTTTTTTCAATAACGCCGTCACCTTTTGCTTTTGAAACCTGAAAATTTCAGCAATTCGCTCGAACAAATCGGCGGTTCAAGTTTACTCGTTACCGTATCAGAGTACTTGGCGAATCTTCTTCTGCGATGGACAGAGGTCATCGTACTGGTCGTGCGAGGAAAACTTGTACTTTCTAATCTCGCGGGCCGCTGCCGTTAATGCCCTAATGGTCAATCAGCCGAGGAACAGTTCAAACGGTTGCAATTGAGGCCAATGCTGGAGCCATTGCATGATTCTTGGTCATTACTGATGTCACTTAGGAGAAGGTGACTTCGCTCGCAAGAAGTGCATCGACGTTGGATGAAATCGGCATAGATAATGAGCTGACTCAATACTTGGATTTTGAAAGTATCGATTACTCATTAGAGAAAGCAGATTCTTGATTGATTTTATTTATTTAGATTTTCGGTATATATATATATATATATAGTATATAATACAGGCATACGACAGAAGTCTTTCTCGGCTGAAAATCTTTTGAGCAAGGAATCCTGCCCGACGATTCGTCTTGCACATACAAGGGATACAGGAGCACAGAGTCAATGGATCCTGTCATCAAAATGATATATGGTCGCATCAGACACTTTGAATAGATCCATAGAATTCCTGGTGGTCCGTTGCCCTTCGTTCCTGCGACTCGTCAGGTGAATTACAGGACTTTACCGTCGGCCAAAAAGCATCTACATTGGAAGTCATCTAGGGTCCTAAGAAATTTCTAAAGGATCCCAGCATCTTTGTGGCCTCGATCTTCACAGCTTTAAGAAATCTGCTGGGTACCGAGGAAAAGGACTGTTTTATCGTCGATCGAAGAATTTCAGTGCAAGAACTTCAAAATGACTTGCTTCCCCCCACCCAATCACAGAACCGCTCTGGTTCTTGTGCCAACCGTTGCGTATTATTCGCGAAATTTTCACGCGCCCATCTTTAAGACGATTACCGTCGTAAATACAGTGTCCGTTGTGTGTTTGCCTTTACCTTTGAAAATCGTACCGAAATAATGCAACTCTATGCCCATATTGTTATTATTATGCAGGAATATTGGAATTTCACGATCACTCCAGCATTCCGTCCAGTAATGCCAATAAAGTTGGGAGTAGTTCCTTGGTACATTGATTGTATAGGTACCTTATCGACTGGACTTAATCTTATCAGATATAAATAGATAAGACGATCGTGTGTTTTTAGTCAAGTCACGTTGAACGAAGTAAATAAATTATTGCGCATTAACAGATTAATCGTATATGTATTATCTAAATTAACGAAAAATTTGTATCTTAATGTTAATATGACGCGAGGAATCGGCGAGAGAATTTTAATGAAAAAAAAAAAATTATAATTAGAAAAATGCTAGAAAGTTAATTGGGACAATTATTATTATTACTTAATTCTTTGGATATTGGCGTGATTGTATGCGGAAGAGAACTGTCAGAATAAAATTGAAATATCGATGTTATTCTCCATATCGTACTTCCGTTGCGTCGTGGCTCGCGCTGGGCGTCTTCGTCACGCTAGATTTTCGTCAGCGAGAAGCAGCTGTGTTGTTTTTCAAATGTTCGCATCGGCAAATGCCCATTGTATAAAAATAAATTGTGCGTAAATGAATTTGTAAATATTTCTTTAGCATGGAATGTACCTTCCTTCAATGCAAAATATTAATATCCTTTTTTTTATACTATAATCAGAGTATCATTTATCAATCCGAACGTACTTTGTACGTTGAATTTCTATATGCGTGAATTTATTAAAAAAAAGTAATTACGACGATTAAAAAAAAATGTTTTCTAATAATACTTTGTAACGACGAAGCAGCCAATTAAATTTAGAGAGGAGCGATTATTTTTCATAGCAACCACGGACAGTCGGCATCATTCATCTCATCAGTGCGTGACTGACTGTCTGGCTTTTCCCCTGCGCTAGCAGCATTTCCGTTTCGGATTCATCGCGAAGCAGATCTCTTGGCAATTTTGGATCGTATCCAAGGGGTCGTTAACGTTTCGTTGTCGCAATAATTCTTCGCCTTCCACGTATTTTCTTAAGGTTGACGATAGAATTTCCCCCACCCACGTGTAAAAGCTTCTGTCCTATCCGGGGGTAGGTTATTCTTCAGATCCCTCTTCGAATTAGATCAGTCTACTCTCCATCAGTGAAACTCTTCAGGTCGTTCTCTTCTTCGAAAGTGATCCTGGAGTTGGTCCAGGAACAAGATCGCCTCGTAGTCTTCCTTTCATCTGGCAATAACAAGCTCGTCGCCATTAGTGGTCGAGGAACTAGAACGTCATAGTTGCACTCAGCATCTTCCACGGGCCTACCTAGATCTCCGGAACTCAAATTTTGCTCTCTGAAAAAAAAAAAGATCAATACGTCGATACGCGTCATCAGTTGTCGGACACTCATAGCGAAGTGAAGCTCGTCGACGAAAGATCTAGATCTGGATCAGTATTTAAAAAATTAATTTTGATCCCTACAAAAATTGTTCAAAATGATTCTGTTGTACGACGTGGAGAACGAGATCTTCTACGTGGTCTGTCCCAAGAACAAAGACAAGTACGTGATCGTCTTCAAGATCTGAATCATGAGGTGTACGGCAAGAGACCCCACTCGAATATATCGATCATTAATCGAGAAAGGGGACGCCTTGTATAAAATGAAGAATCATATCGAAAATGATCTACTCGTATAATGGTAAGGGGGCTAAGTGGCCGACCTCAAGATCATCAAGATACTAAGGAGCTCGAGATAAGACCCTGGTATTACATCACGGCAGGAAATCTTTGAAGTAATATCTTCTGCCCGGTACAAGGACGAGCATCTACTTAAAGTCAGATCGTCGTGTTAGCGATCTTAACCCACGCCCGGAAGAATGACAGCGTGGGCAATTCGCGCAATGCCAGCGCTGGCATTGATCTTGACCCGACGAAGGCCACGCGGGGAATTGCCTTTGGAATTGCAAGGAAGAGAGAGAAAGTGATACGCCTTCGTTAATATACATGAAAGCGGCGCGACAATAACCGACGCTCGCAATGATATTTCCTGTTATCACGCGAGTCGCTCTGAACTTTGACCGAAATTCGATTCGGTATGATTTTGGTGTTTTCGTCACTTAATACTTTTACAGAGTGAGACAGAGCTATAGGCATGAATTATTCGATGACTCTGTTACGTAGTACTACAGCATCTTTTATCTTCGGCGGACGGAACAGCATGCTTCGGAAATTTCGCATTACTTTACTGTTCTAATGTGAACACGTGATTTTCGACAGATCGGGAATAAATTACGCAGTCGTATTCGACTTTGACTGGTTGCTCTGATAATTCGATACGATGAGGAGTGAGAAAGAGGATATTTTTATAATCGTAAAAATATAATATTTTTGTTTACGGGTCGGTTGAGTTGTTGGTAGAATAATGAATAATGATGATACTTCGCAAGGCATTATTTGCGCATCTGACGAACCGTCCTACTGTATTTGCGAATTGCGCGAATTTCAATGCGATCTCTTACATGCTGCGCACATAGAGCGATTGCGTAAGGTGCATCGAGCGACATTGACAATAATCATCGAATTACCTGTGTCCCACGTAATAGTCATTCGGTAATGTACATAGTCGGTGTGGATTTGTCAGTCGTTAACAGAACGTTGCAAGGGTTGGATCGAAGTACAACGCAATTGTTATTTCCTTCTTATTCTACGTCGTCGCGACGAGTGTAAAAGCGGCTTTACGAGGATGCGAAAATAGAGCCGAGCTCCGCGGCGCGTCTCGAGGCCCCTGCGACGCTCGCAAGCTTTGCTTCTTAAGCTTCCAGTCTCCTACTGGAAGTATCCGCGAGATGAGTTTGATCTTGACCAGTGCGTGCTGATGATCAATGATCAGTTGTGAATTAAGCTGACCTCGACAAAAAGTTCATATCAAAACAGAAAATTGGATCATTTTTTTTTTTTCGGAGACGTATGGATAAAAGAAGAAGAAAAGCAGAAATATGCAAGTGGAATTGTGACTTTCGTTTGGACGGTCGAAGGAAACCATAAAATTGAGGGCAATGGAGGAATCGATGTTGATGGGGACTAGCTAGTTTCCGTTGGAGGCGTCTTAATGGTTTTACAAAATTGTAACACTGATATGGTCTTTTGTGGCCTTTGCCCTTGCTGTGATTACGGTTGGTCCTCTTATGCATATCTTTTGCAAATTTTTTGACAAGGCACAGACGATCTTCTGTTACCGTGTAATTGTGGTTTGTGCGATACGGTTATGCGTAATATTCCAATAGACGTATCATTGACTACTATGATCTATGATCTATGATCGATGGATAAGTGTTCTTAAAATCAGTCGTAAGGATCTTTTGGTATAGTAAAATTATCGATTCGGGGAATCTCTAATAATGATTTCGATTTTCCAGCGAAGAGCACTGGGCGGAATAATGTATGAGAAACGTCCGTTGGAAGATCAGAAATAAGGAAGTTGCATAGAGAAAATCATTAGACGCTGACGTCACGAGGGAGAGAGATAAAGTATATAGGACTTCAATTGGGAGTATTCGTTAGAAAGAGAAATGATGGACACAGCGAGCGAGTACCCGTCGACGATCGACGTCTGCGTCGTCGACAGTCCTGACGAGAGTTGCAGCGAGCGTCACTACGACGAGTTTACCATAGTCGCACGTCGGATGAGTATATCGCGTATATTCGCACGGAATTCGATGGCCTGGGCTCGCGACTCTTTGGAGAAGTTACCGATCAGATTGACCTTGAGCAATATTGGAATCCTTACTGTGATCATTGCGATCCTTATGCCACGTGTCTTCACTTACGTACTGGTCTATCCGATTTTCAGATTGGTCTTCGGTACCCTTTATCCGGCCTACGCTTCTTACAAGGCTGTACGGACGAAGAACGTCAAAGAATACGTAAGTGAACTAGTAGGTATATTTGAGTAATCAGAGGATTTTTTATAAATTGATTTTTTTTTTTTTTTTTAGGTAAAATGGATGATGTACTGGATCGTGTTTGCACTGTTCACATGCGCCGAGACATTCACCGACGTATTTTTTAGCTTTTGGTAAGACGTAACATTCTTGTGAAATTGTCGAATTTTTTTTTCGCTTTTTTAGAGGGTACTGAAAATATTAGCAGACTTGCGATATGTCACTGCAGAAGTCACGTTCTTTTTCTTACGTCCATTCGCTTTTAGAGAAAAGTTTTATGGGGCTGTGTAAAACTGGCGGGGCCAATAAACCAGCCTCCTCGCAGTCTGAGCTTCGTCTCTCTCTCTCTCTCTCTCTCTCTCTCTCTCTCTCTGTCTCTCCTTTTCTCCACTGCCGGACTCTCACTCTGCCCAGGGAATTCCGAATGTCTAATTTCGGACGAGATACACTATGCACTTCTGAGGATTCACTGGACTCCTTCTAGATTCCTCTCGAGTTTCATCATTATCTTTCTCTCTCTCTCTCTCTCTCTCTCTCTCTCTCTCTCTCTCTCTCTCTCTCTCTCTCTTGCTTTCTCCCCGTTTCTCTTGCTCAACCTGACTCACTGTGAATTCGGCCGGTCCACATAGAAGCTTGCCAGATTTCTCATAATCGAATTACAGCAAAGAGAGACAAACGTAAACGAGGGACACGGTGTCAGGATATTTTCGGATGCTGGTTAAATGGACCTATCCGCCTCTAACGAAAACTTACGAAACTCTTGATATAATCACATTACGTTTCATTGTAGGTTCCCATTTTATTACGAGATCAAGATAATTCTGGTGCTATGGCTATTAAGTCCAGCGACAAAAGGATCCAGCATCCTTTATCGACGCTTCGTACATCCTGCTCTGAGCCGACGAGAAGCTGAGATAGACGAGGCTCTCGCGAGAGCAACGGAGCAGGGCTATACAGCAGTACTGCATCTGGGTACCAGAGGCGTTAATTATGCTACTACCGTACTTATGCAAACAGCCATAAAGGTAAGTCTCCGAAAGGCTGGTAGAAATTTGTTGGCAGAGAGAAAAATTTTGAAACGCGGTTGAAACTTCCTGTGACGAGAAACCGCCTTCGTAAGTCGAGGCTTCCAATTAGGTCTTGAAGTGCATTAACGAACCTAATAACGTCATTCGTTGCTCTACTACTATTTTCATACACAATAAAAATTCATATTTCTCAGATTTCTCACAGTGCCAAAACGCATCCCCCTCACGATATATAATTAACCCGCAGCTACATTCCTTTTGCTTGGTTACTAATATTGTTTACGTTTATTTTTCTTTTTTTTTTCTTCTTCTTCTTTTCAATCCCTTTCCCCCATTCCTCACGATACCATCGCCGTACCGCCAACATAACCTGCATCTCATCCACATACGGCGACTTCTCGACCAACGTCTTGATCCTGTACTCTATCCGGCGACGACGATGCCGCATGACGACACAGAACTTCCCAAACGTCGTCCCGAACACATTGAGTGTCCTCCCTGCCAGCCAATCAGACTCGGCGATTTCTAGCTTAGCCAACCCCAGAGCGTCAAGGGAGGCCAGGAAAGACAGTCCCGATGGCCCGGAGCACCAGCAACAACGAAGGCGTACTAGAAGCGATGACCTCTCATTGAACCTGGACACCGAATGCCTTGATAACTCGACCGACGAGGAGATCACGGAGTCGGAGCCGGAATTCAAAGTTCCCGCGGAGAAGATACGAAAACAGAAGAAGGAACGAATTCAGCCGAAGCGAAACAAGTCGAGGAATCGCAGAGAAGACCTGGTGAACTTCGAGGTCGACTTCAGCGACGAGATCGACGTTAATTAATGAAATCCTCTTAGAATCTTTTTTTCTTTCTTTCAATTTATCACTTTTGTTCTTTACGTGTAGCTATCGTTTCTTATTGTCACGTCATACCACAATTCTATTATTTTTATTATATCGTTTTATCTGCTTTCTTTTTCTCGCCGCCGCGTACCCGTCAGCGTTGAATCAAGCGCGATCGAAACTTTCCCGATTAATCATCACGAGCTAAGGATTTTATGACAAAAATCGTAACGAATCTGGAAGAACGTCCAGTTAGGACCACTTTCTGGGTTCTGGGTGAGGAGTTTTCTAATTGCGCAAAGGTCGATCAGGTCACTGATCTTGTATACCAGTTGAGCGTACTTCAATAACGACCAATCGCGAGACATTAACGTCATCTGACTCTTTATGACTTTAATCGGGACGATTATTAAACATTTGGTAATTGGGCGACTCTGATGGATCACTTTAAAATCGATAATAATCTTCTTATCTTAGCTATATACATAGTCGAGTTAGGATCCGTGCGGATCCAAGTAGGATTCTTGCGACATGGAATCAGACTTGTATCGAGAAAATTCAATGATTCCTCGTCAAGAGTTTTCCGGTACGTATTTTCCGGGAGGTGATCGCACAGTTACCTTGTCTATTGCCTGACCTCCCAAGACAAGTGATAACGTTAATTCGTCCTAATGAGAAGACTGAGGCTGCATTGCAGTCGGCCAAGTGCTCAAGCAGCTTGAATGATCCATGTCGCAGGAAATCCTAAGATCCGTAAATATATGCTTTACCTCGCCCAGTGGTGACATATTAGTAAATTATTAGTAAGTGCGAGATCATATATCGTGTTTGCTCGTTGTTTATCCGCATAATATAAATCAAGTCTCACGAGACCCTCTAAGAAATTTCCCAAATGATGGTCAATGCTAGGAATCTTCGCACTGATCGATCAGACAGATCATCGGCAACTTTCTCGGTTTTCCTTTGAACTCTGGATAAGCTGTGTGACGTAACTATGTGTGTCTCAATATGTTACGGCTTTTTACGTATATCGAGTTTAAGACTGTGCATCGACTTATCGTAGCACGCATGTATACAGGGCGATACAAAAGTAACGGAAGTGCCTTACCAAACTTCATTATTTATATAAATATTATCTTTTTGTTTTTCTCTACAAACCTCCATAAGCCCTCAGCACTTCGTGCGAAGTTACCGATGATTAGCAAGTGATGTGTTAGGTTCGCGACGTAACACGTTATGTGACATACGTGAGTGAAGTCACGACCGTGTACCGGAACGAAGATGTTAGTTTTTAAGATGTTTTTATACCCGATCCAAAGATCCTCCAAATTGCGAGTTTTTAAAATAAACGTTTTTAACATACACACAATGCTAACGTACTGCATATGTATTTCTGTATTTTATACCTACATTTTTTTTTTCATTTCTTTTTGTCATTCAATCTCAATATGGCCGCGCGCCTTCGACGTTGACCATATCCGACCACCTGCCTATGTAATACCCCTGCGGCCGCTTTACGTCCTATAATTAAAATCATCATTAATTCGCGCCTAGCGGTGCACAACATCTAATTGGCTGACCAGACGCGACTAGCTATGATCTATTTTGATAATTTGGCATCCGTCATATGCCTGCTTGCACTAGCCCATAATTTATCGTCATATCAGATAGCTATAGTAATTTAGAAAGACTTTAGGTCAGCCCTCGCACTGGTGACGGCAGATAACAATAATTAACACTTTTTTGTTGGTAAGACAATTATTCCTTTTAAATATTGCTTTTATCTTCTCATTATTTTTCCATAAGATTGTCAGCCTGGTTTGGTAATACGATTCGTTTTCAGGGTGGCGGTGGATTGGTGCAGCAGCTCAAGAAAAGTTACAGTCTCTCTGATCTGACTGGCGAGAAGGAAGATGAAAACAGGAACACGGCCGACTTGCGTGACGAGACGGACATGGAAAGTTCGTGTGATTTTGATCCTCTGCTGGTGGAATGATTTATTCATTATAATATTAATTAATGTCGTTCACTTACAGTGGAACCTCGTCGAAGAGAACACGTGGGTAGAAGAGGCTACAGCCCACGAAGAACTCAGTCGAGCAGCAATCGTGTCGAGATGTATTTCTCTGAGGTGGATGTGGACGTGAGACAACCACGGCCAAGGGAGCCTATAGTTAGCTTAACGTATGTGACAGATTAATTGCGATTAGCAGAATTATATTTTTTATTTTATAATTATATACTCAAGTCCATGGTAACCGGTGCTGGTGGTTTTTCAGTAATATTAGGTCATCCGATGACATATCCAGCGGATACAGCAGTGGTGAAGCTTTGCAGTCTCATCGTGTCATCTCTCAGGGTGAATCGCTTGTAAGGACAGCGAGCGTCGGTGCCAGGACGCGAATAAAACCACGGACCACGACCAAGAAGACGCCGGAGGTTCGTAGAGGCTGGTACTGGTCTTTAAATTCGATAAGGTTCTCGGCGAGGATATTTTAGTTTTTCTTTCTTTGCTTTCATTCTGGTATGTGTAATGTATTTCTATTCGGTTCTAAAGGATGACGAGGAAGATTCGGATTGCATCGAGATCTCTTCATTGGATGATATTCCTTTTCTCATTCCGCAAAACTCTATCACTCCTGAACAAGCTCTTGAGATTCTGCTTCGTTTGTCGCAAAATAGTACATGTGGAGATTACGTCAACTTTCAACGCAGACGCAACTCTGATAATAAATTTGGAGAAGAGTTTCCTACTGATCGTGGGCATGATCTAAATTTGTTGAACACTTTTGGAAGAGACAGTCGATCAAAATCAAGAGAATCCAGTATGGAATTTCAAGATACTGTGTCGGAACCGGATGCACTCAATGCTGAACAGACTTTGACTTATTCTAAAAGAAGTGCAGATGTTGATATTAATACCATTAAGATACCGGATGTTTTGAAAACTGATGTTGTTGATGTCAGTCATGTTGACTCATCCAGTGGAAATATGTCCAAGTACCGAAATACAGTAGAAGCTGAAGCTCAGGAAGAAATATCTGCTTTGACTGATGATCAAGTTCAAGTAAAACATACCTCCAGTGAGGTCAAGGCTGATTTGAATTCAAAAGACGAGATTTCTATTAAGGAGTCCGTTAGTAAGATTAACGTGGAACAGATCACTGACGCCATCTGTCAGGATAAGTTTGATGAACTTAAAAAATTGATTAGTAATGCTCAACGTGCTGTGTCGAATATCGTGACGTCACAAGAAAGACTAAACAGAATTGATCCCATCGAAAGTGCAACGGGTCAACAAGATATATCCATCCAAAAAGAATCAGATGACAGTTGCTGCAACGTTGGAGAAGACATAGCCATAAAGAATTCCTTAAACAGCCAGAGCAATACTAATTCTCTGGAAGTCTGGTCGACTCCAACGATATCGAGAAGTAATTCAGACAGTGGAGGTCGAGCAGGAAAGTATAATAAGAAACCAGCACCCAGGGCACCAGGATCAACGACTCGAGAAGATATAGATGATACAGAATCTCAAAAAGCACTGAAAGCTACGTTGATCATAAAAACAGGAACTGTCAAAACAGTCAGCAACATCAGTACCAGTAAGGATGTGTTCATAGCACATTCGCCGAAGGCCAAGCGCAAGAAAACTAAACATACCAGAACAAAGGAAGGATTTTCGAAATTGCTGACTATACCAAAAAATATTTTTCATAGCGCTTTTCACAAGGATGGTAAAGACGCTTCACCTAAGGATGACGATTCGAGTTCTTTTACTTCTGATAGAGACACATCCAGATCTAGATCAGTCAGCGTGGGATCTGGAGGTACTGGAAATGACGTAGAGAATAAACCATCGACTTCGAAATCCGGATTAGACGTGGAGAATGCCCTAGTGAAGGCTGCTCTGGTTGATGAAGATTCTAGGGCAGAAACTTACATAAACTTAAGATCAGACAGTATAGATCAATATACTTCAGCATCTGAAGATTCTAAGAGTGAAGACCTCGATAAGACTGTTTTCGAGAGGACAGAGTACGAGAAAAGGATATCAAAAGCGGAAGCGAAGAGAGAGGAAGAGGATAAATTGTCAAAAGCGGAAGATCGTCAAAAGGCAAAGCTAAAGATCAGACAGATGTCGCACTCGCCATCTCGTGGCTCTAGAAAATCTTATTTTGATTGCGACTGACGTTTTCAAAAATTATATAGTAGCTGTACACGTGAAAAACGTGTTAGTTGAGAATTGCCTTTAATACTAAGTAAGACGAAGCAGAAATAACCATATCCAATCCCATCCATGTCCTCAAAAGCGGAAGGATCTCAGGACAAATGTTGCAGAGAAGAATCGTAGCTTATCCAACGTATGCATCTAATTTTTGGTGTTCCCAGCGAACAGAGTTCATCAAGAATGCAGTGTTAATCAACACTAACTTCAGTATGGAATGATCTTGTGTTTGCAGTGTATAGGAAGCGTCAGCTTGTTCGACGTGAACTAACAAAATCGTAGAATACCAACTTCAGTTTGTAATTTCAGCTTGAGAATCGCTTAGCACCGTTTTCTAGTATTTCTCAGTCTGCAACCATTACCAGTTTGTTTCACAATAAACTTTCTTTATTTCAGATAACGAGTTTCGCCACCTTGCCCCGTAGCAAAAAGCCAAGTAAGAAGAAGATCCCGTGAAACTTGACGGCTGCTGACCGCATCAAGGAATAGGGCTAAGCAAGAGTCCATTTTTCGAATTGAGCCAAGACATCACGTTCATCCGTAAATCCATATAATCCTTGGTGAAAAGATGCTGCCAGTAGATGCAGCAATTGGACGGTCAGCAGCGTGCATTGATCGATGGCCAAATTGCGCAATAAAATGGCGTCACGCCGAAGCTTTGTCATTGTGCAACAGTTCATCGCTAGACTGAAGATCGGTATTGGTTTCTTTAGTCTAGTCCAAATGCGCAATGCGAAAAACGTGCTGGATATTTTTTAGGACGAACAGGAACAGTGACGGCCCGATTTTTGAATTTGAAAAAAAAAGACAATGTAGAATACAATGCTAGTTAGTCTGTAAAAAATTCAGCTTCGTCTTCGTATGTCTGCTCTCAGTTCGAAAAAACTATACGTGAATCAATTCTAAATTGGTGATACCGTTGGTCACAATTGCCCTGTAAAGCTTTTAGCTTAGTTGCTTTTGCTTCTGGCACAAGAAACATGTATACATCCAACAGTTTTATCTATATTCCATTATTGATATCCAGCACCTTTCTCTGCGCTGCAATATTCGCGTGGTAATTCTTGTCTCGCGTTGCTTCGATATTTCTAAGATCGATCGAAAATCAGACGTACAGTCACGATTGAAGAGGATGTGCATTTCTTGTGATATACAGAAAATTCAAAAATTATTATGAACGGCGTTGAATTCAAGACGCGCTGAAGTTGAAGTTGATGAATTCTAGTCAGCGAGCATGTGAGGAGAGCTCGAGCCGCTATTTAAAAATCGTGCCACTTAGAAAAAAGATGTTTGAATCTCTGGTAATTAATTAGAGATTATTTAAATGTCAAATGCTAGTAATTGTAGTAGGTGCCGTGGAGATTGTGGCTGCTTTCATTAATATTTCTGTAAATTTATTCATTGGCCATATCAGTGATTTTTATAACCACGACTTTGATGAAAAGTCATGGATTTTTCTACAACAGCATATTTGAAAGGGACTTGTTTGAGCTTTTTCTTGAATTTCAATTTATAGAAAAATCTCAAGTTAAGCTCTTTGCAAATAATGTCTTGTAGCTAATAGCGCTTCATCATGTAATTTACTGATACCAAACACTAGATAGATATAGCAGCCAGACATGTAATCTTCCTCAAAATTTTATTCGTAAACGCAATTCATTCAATCGTAGCCATTTTCTTTTCGATGAAATAAGAATTAAGTAAAAATTAATTAATTGCGTATGACGCCATCGTTTAGAGTGGCTTTGTCCTGGTATGACAAAAATTACGCACAAGTACTATGATTACTAAAAATTAGATAACAGAATTTATTTAGCAATGTTAACAAATTCGTGCATATAGTTTATTGTATTATCCTCTAACGATCATTGATTGACGTAGATGAAGGGAATTTTATGGTTCGATATGATACTAATCGGCTCTACACGTTAGCATCGATCGATCTACTATTAAATTAATTAGTTGTTCAATATCATTCGTTTGCGGTTTTCAACGCTCTAAACGAAATCCTTATCGTTGACTGCATTAACATGAATCCCATTCGTGGACGCTATTATATGTATAATTAATCACCATTGATGATACGTATCGTTAACCCTTATTAGCCCAGACTAATGTTTTGTATGCTTGTACGATGCGAAAATGGGAATGCGCCTTGGTGCGACGAAGATAGAGAATGGAAAGAAAGAGGACAGAGCAGATGAAATAATAATGTATCGATATTATATGAACAAGCAAGAGTGTGCGAGAGAATATTAGTGTAATGAGATTACGTAAAAATGCTCAAAAATATACTTCTTTATTCTGAACCGATGACTGAATTCTAAACAATTGACGGTACCTCTATGTTAATCCTGTTTAAGGACTTATTTACATCGAGCGAAACTATTAAAGTCTAAGGAGGATGAAAGTGATTAATGTCCACGAGTCATAGCTACTCGTGTCTCACGAGGATTATCGTGGTGCTCGCTAATTGTTCTATTTCTTTTCTACGTACGTAAAACACGCCAGCTTGATGCGTGAGGATGTTACCATTGTTGTCAGGAATCATGTACCGTGTGGAACTTTCCGAAGTGTCTCTCAGAGGATGTGGACGGATCGGATATTAATATTTCGATTCGAGCACATTTGTAGCTAATAAAATGAAACTGTGGAAAATGATATGCGAACAGTCTCCTTTTTTCACTTGGACTCACTCTAGTAAATTATTGAATACATCGTAGAATTGGACGTAATTGACTCAAAGTAAAAGGGCTAAACATCTTTCTCATATAGCACAATACATTCATTCAGACTAAACATGTCCGTGTAATTTGTGCCGCCCGGTTTTGATATGTAGAATGTACTGTATAGATAAAGGTAAATCCTATTCGGGTGGCTACTAGCGATTTTATCTAATGATTAGAAACCTAAATGAACTGCAGCATTGAAATGAAATTCCCTGAATGGTTATTCTCCTGAAATGCCGATCTTCGATTGAATCTTGAAATCATTGAAAGTGCTGTCATCTGTAGGTGTCCGTAGCACCAAAGATCAGTAGGGAGATGCACAACGCTACGGTTTTAGGCGATACCAAAAACATGGCGCTAAATCGTAGCGGCGAGTCCGGGAATAGAATTTTGTGATCATCGCCTCCGTCGATAATGCATATCCCGTCGTAGCCGAGCTGAACGTGATCACGAACGAGTAGCCTGGCGGGCAGAGATTCTCCACAACTTACACCTGATTCCCAAAGCAACCCTTAGAAAGAGGCCGCTTATCAGATATTGCCTAAATCTTTTTTTTTTGTAATCTTAAATTCATATGTGCAGTGTAAGCTCGATAAGATTTACTAAGACAAAAGCCAGCACCTGCCTTATGCCTTATGCCTGCCTGTGTTAAGGAGTGCAGCGATGCGGTGCTAGCTTCCATCATTATTTAACAATAGTTCCAAGCGGAACTATGGTCCCAACATTGAGTACTAGAGAGAATTATTCCGGAACTGTTTGAAACACAACCTGAAAACAACACTGAAAGCCAGTTCCTTATGCATACCTGCACTGAAGCATATGGTGTATCCTACTAGTATCCTTAATAGGTATTTTAACGATGTTACGTAGCAGAACTGTTATTAAAACCTATCAGGAACTATAGAAATTCTAGTTAAGTGCGTAGCATGTACAACGCTCAGACACCAATTTTTGAAGTTCTTCAAGAAAGTAT